CCAGTGGGAAAGCTTGCATGCAGTTCCATCGTCATTTCGACGCACTCCTCACACGGTTCGTGGCCCCATGGGGAGCTCCACCGAAGGCCTTAGTGGGAAAGTTCGCATGCATTTTCACCCCCCATTTCGTCAGCTCACCCCTCACACGTTTCGTGGACCCATAGGGAGGAAGGCCCCAGTGGGAAAGTTCGAATGCAGTTCCACCTCCCATTCCGGCGCACCCCTCACACGGTTCGTGGCCCGGTAGGGAACTCCACCGAAGGCCCCAATTGGAAAGTTCGCGTGCAGTTCCACCCCCCATTTCGGCGCACCCCTCACACGGTCCGTGGCCCCCTAGGAGCTCCACTGAAGGCCCCAGTGGGAAAGTTCGCATGCATTTCCACCCCATTTCGGCGTACCCCTCACACGGTTCGTGGCCCCGTAGGGAGCTACACCGAAGGCCCTAATTGGAAAGTTCGCGTGCAGTTCCCCCCCATTGCGGCGCACCCCTCACACGGTTCGTGGCCCCGTAGGGAGCTCCACCGAAGGCCCCAGTGGGGAAGTTCGCATGCAGTTCCACCCTCATCTCGGCGCACCCCTCACGCTTTTCGTGGCCCCGTAGGGAGCTACACCGAAGGCCCCAGTGGGAAAGTTCGCATGCAATTCCCCCGCAATGTCGTCGCACCCCATCGCACGTTTCGTGGGCCCATAGCAAGCCCCCCCGCAGGCCTCAGTGGGAAAATGCTCAAGCAGTTCCACACCCAATTTCGGCGCACCCGTCACACGGTTCATGGCCTCATAAGGGGCTCCACCGTGGGCCCCAGTTGCAGGGTTCGCATGCGGCTGCATCCCCACGTCGGCTCATCTCTCATATGTTTCGTCGCCCTATCGGGAGCTTTACGGAAGACGATACACCCCGTTACAGTACTCACAGCTGCATATTGTTGGGTCCTTCGCCAGGCTAATGTTTGTTGTTTGTGTTGCTTTTGTTGGTTTCTGGCTCCCCGCGCCCAGCCCGGGCGTTTCCACGGGGGGGGGGGGGGGACGCGGCGGTGGGCGGGAGAGGCGCCGAAACGTATCAACGGCACAAGGACCAACACAGGCACACGAAAACCATTACCACCAGGGCACCCGTGCAAAGAAGCAACGAAACAGCGGCCCCGACTGCTTCTTGACAGAACCAGACGGAACCTACGGGCTTTCAATCCACTTCCTTTCGAAAGCCATTCTAGGCTTTGATTTCGGTGTGCTTCTTGCCTGGGGGGCGTTTTTTGTTGTTGTTGTTGCTGCTGCTGTATGTCTGCAGGTATGTATGCATGCATGTATGTATGTATGTGTGTGTGTGTGTGTGTGTGTGTTTGGATGTATGCTTGTATATAGATGTATGTATGCATGTATGCATGTATGCATGTATACATGTATATATGTATGTATGTATGTATGTATGTATGTATGTATGTATGTATGTATGCATGTGTGTATGTATGCATGCATGCATGAATGCATGCATGCATGCATGTCTGTCTGTCTGTCTGTCTGTATGTATGTATGTATGTCTGTATGTATGTATGTATGCATGTATGTATGTATGTATGTATGTATGTATGTATGTATGTATGTATGTATGCATGCATGTATGTATGTATGTATGTATGTATGTTTGTATGTTTGTATGTTGGTATGTGTGTGTATGTTTGTATATTTGTATGTATATATGTATGTATATGTATGTATGTATGTATGTATGTATGTATGTATGTAGGTAGGTAGGTAGGTAGGTAGGTAGGTAGGTAGGTATGGATGGATGGATGTATGTATGTATGTATGTATGTATGTATGTATGTATGTATGTATGTATGTATGTATGTGTGTATATGCATGCATGCTTGCATGCATGGATGGATGGATGGATGGATGGATGAGGACGGACGGATGGATGGATGGATGGATGGATTGATGGATGGATGGATGGATGGATGGATGGATGGATGGATGGATGTGTGTGTGTGTATATATATATGTATGTGTGTCTATCTAAATACATATATCGAGGACGCCGGCGGTGCACCACCGGCCGCTCACTGGGACTTCACCGAAGTGGTGCGCAGCATCGGAAGTCGTGACGTTGCGCGTATGCCAGCTATCAAATGGCCGTCGGCCCATCCCGCGACCGTGCTTGGGTTTTGGGTCGGAGTCCTCATGGACGCTTCTTGGGGTCTCTCGAGAGGGCTCTCGGGGGCCTCTCCGGGGGAGTTTAGGGGCCTCTTGGGGGCCTCCTGGGGGCTTCTTGGGGGCCTCTTGGGGCCCTCTTGGGGGCTCTTGGGGGCCTTTTGGGGCCTCTTGATAGCCTCGAGGGGGCCTCTTAGGTCCTCCTGGGGGCCTCTTGGGACCGAAAGCTCGAAATGTCCGTTCGGGTTCCCCGTCTGGGCCCCCTCTTGGGGCCGTCCTGGGGCCCTTTTGGCCGTCCCGGGGCCTCTTGGGCCGTCTTGGTGCCCTCCTGGGCCGTCTTGGGGCCCCCTTGGGGACCTCTTGGGCCTTCTCGGGGGGATCTTTGGGGCCTCTTGGGCCGTTTTCCCCTTAAGATTCAGATGAAAACCCAGTTGTAGAATTCTGCTGTTCTCGCAGTCGTAGTCGCATTCGCGATGACAGTCGCAGCGGCAACGGCAGTCGCAGTCACAGCCTCAGCCTCAGCCTGCCTCAGCCTCAGCCTCAGCCTGCCTCAGCCTCAGCCTGCCTCAGCCTCAGCCTCAGCCTGCTTCAGCCTCAGCCTCAGTCTGCCTTCAGCCTCGGCCTCAGCCTCAGCCTGCCTCAGCCTCAGCCTGCATCAGCCTCAGCCTCAGCCTCAGCCTGCCTCAGCATCAGCCTGCTTCAGCCTCAGCCTCAGCCTGCCTCAGCCTCAGCCTCAGTCTGCTTCAGCCTCAGCCTCAGTCTGCCTTCAGCCTCGGCCTCAGCCTCAGCCTGCCTCAGCCTCAGCCTGCCTCGGCCGCAGCATCAGCCTGCCTCAGCATTCAAAATGTGGCCCAGGAATGGAGTTCTGGGAACTAGAAGAACACGAAGTGGCCTACAGTTGGCTCCGGGCATTCAAAATCATGCCCAGGAATGGAGTTCTGGGAACTTGAAGAGCACGAAGTGGCCTACAGTTGGCTCCGGGCATCCAAAATGTGGCCCGGGAATGGAGTTCTGGGAACTCGAAGAGCACGAAGTGGCCTACAGTTGGCTCCGGGCATCCAAAATGTGGCCCGGGAATGGAGTTCTGGGAAGTCGAAGAGCACGAAGTGGCCTACAGTTGGCTCCGGGCATCCAAAATGTACGCCGGGGATGGAGTTCTAGCAGCGCGAAGAGCGATTTTGCGAGGATGTCCCAAGCTATTTGGGCTTCGGCGGCACCGCCCCGGGTCCCGCCCCGACCCCCCTGTGGAGTCATCTGCTGCTCTCTTTTGAGACCACTAGAAACCTATCAGCAAAAGCTGTTAGGTAATCAATGAATTTTGCTTCTTTGGGTCCTCTTGGGGGTGCTCTTGGAGGCCTCTTGGGGCGTCTTGGAGGCGTTTTGGGCCGTCTGGGGGCCGTCTTGGGCGTCTTGGAGCGATCTGGAACCGTCTGGAGGCTCTCTTGGACCGTCCTGGGGCTCTCTTGGACCGTCTTGGAACGCTCTTGGGTCGTCCCCCGGCCGTTCCAAACGTTGAGGGGGTTGAGGCCGGGGGGGGGGGCGGCGGCAGAGTAGGGCCCCCTCGGAGGGACTTTCAGGAGGTTTTTGACCAGGCACTGGCGAAGGGGACCAAAGATTGTGCCAACCACTCTGTCAGAGAGGTCTCGCACGGCCCACCCCGCATAGCGGGAGCGGCAGGATGAAGGGCTTCGCCCTCTGCCGCCGGCCCCCTGTTACTAGTGCGTGCGGCTGCGTGGATAGCGCCGTGGGTGCTTCTTGTGGCAGGCTTCTCGGCAGCGTCTGCGGGTCATTGTTGGAGCTTCTTGGAAGCCATTTTGGAGCCCCTTGGGGCATATTTTGGATCTCTTGGCGGTCTCCTTGGGGCCTCTTTGGGGCCTCTTGAGGGTCTCTTGGGGCCTGGGATCTTCTTGGGGCCTCCTGGGGCCCTCTCGGAGCTGAAAGGTCGAGTTTTCGGTTCGTGGACTCCCTCTTCGGCCTCTTTTGGGACCGTCTTAGGGCCCTTTTTGGCCGCCTGGGGCACCTCTTGGACTGTCTTGGGGCCCTCTGGCCGTCATGGGAGCTTCTAGGGCCGTCGTGGGGCGATCTTGGGAACCTCTTGGTCCGTTTCGGAGCGTCGGAAAGCCGAAAAGGCGAGAAGGCCAAAAGCCTTCAACAACGTTAGGAAAATCGTTGATTTGTGCTTCGCGGTGCTCTCTTGGGAGGCCTCTTGGAGGTCTCTTGGGCCGTCTTGACAGCATCTTGGGCCGTCTTGGGGCCATCGTGGGCCATCTTGGGGCCATCTTGGGCCGTCTTGGGCTCCTGAGGCTCTCTTCGGAGCCTCTTCGGACAATCTTGGAGGCCTCTCGGGCCGTTCTGGCCGCGCGGTGGCGTCACCATGAGAATCCTGGGGTGGCACAGAGCAGCCTGTATTTGAGGTTCCCCCCCCGTTGGCTGTTTGGTGACGCGGCGGGGCCGCTGAGCAGACAGTAGACAGGAGGCAGGAAACAGGACTGGAGAGACACAAGGCCAAACAACACATGACAACACATAACACATGACAGCAAACCGCAGACGCCTTCGCAGCCTTGCGCCCCCAGAGGGGGCTGGCATATATATATATATATATATATATATATATATATTCATAGATACATACATCTATATATATACACTTATATATACACATACACGTACACGTACCGACGCTCATCCCATGTTTTCGCCCTTTGAGGGGCCTTCGACACCACGGCTGGATTCGCCTCATAGTCGTTGTCAGAACGCACCCTGGCTGAGGTCAGGGGAGTACCGGCGTCGGCATTTCCCCCCCGGTGCGACTCAAGCATACACACAATGTGGAGTAGCGATTTGTCCAGGACCAGATGAAGAGCAAGCCCTTCACCTACGACAGCAGCGGCAACATCGTCTGGGTCCAACCAGTGGAGGTCACATCGTGACACAACAGACGGCATGAACATCCATTCTCGGAGGTCAGTCCCGATTTCTGGGGTCGGCGCCAGACTTCTTCCTCCGGCCCGCGGCGCGCACCAGGGGGTGAGCTCCGACCGAAGCGCGGACCTCCGAGCGTTTATGCTTGTGCCGTCTGTTGCTCGTCCAGGTCAACAGGCTCCCCAACCAGACCCAGCCCATGAGCTTCAGCGTCAAGGTGGACAGGCATCACCAGGAGGCGTCTGCGCCGTCACCGCGCGTGAGGTCGACCAGTCCCCACGCCAGCCCCCGCGCCGCCTCCCTCAAGAAGAGGGGGAAGCCGTCGAAGGCGCTCTCAGGAGGAGGAGGAGGAGGAGGAGGAGGAGGAGGAGGAGGAGGAGGAGGAGGAGGAGGAGGAGGAGGAGGAGGAGGAGGAGAGGGGGGGAGGAGGAGGGGGGACGGAGGAGGAAAAGGAGGGGTTGGAGTTGAGACGCGCAGAGGGGTATGGGCTGGAGACTACCAGGAAGTCAGCAGCAGCTCCGGCCCTCATTTTGAGTGGAGCCCATCGAAGACCATAGCATGATAGAGCCCCCCATCGAGCAGTGGGCCTTCCCTTGCCATAGCGCAGCGCCCTGCCAGGAATTCATGCAATCGTCATCACTACTGTTCTCATCTTCAGTAAGTATGATACTGCCCTGCGACAGTCCGTTGCGCCGGCGGCGGAGCTGGTTGACATCTATTGCCTTTACCACTTATTGAACATATCCCACCCGACTCAGAGAGGCCGCGACAGCGTGAGTAGACCACTTCACCTGGGTGGGACTGCTGCCCGCGGGGCTGGATACGTTACGGACAAGCGGTTACATGGCTCGTGCGCGGGGTGCATTGGGACGAGGCGGCTTCCGCCGTGGCAAGGCTCGTGCTGGGCTAGGCTGGCTTGGCTAATGCTTTGGTAGGCGGGCTCCCATGGCATTCGAGCAGAACGATGGCTTTGAGCACTTGTCCACGCGCCGTGTCTTTTCACCACTGGCACGACAATCGATGACATAGCAGTCGGTGAAGCCACTGGACAGTTTCATGCACAGTGAGCGGAAGCCGGGTGAGACCGTGCGGCTTCTCGTCCACGAGGCTACGCTGCGTGAGGGATGCGTAACATCTAAAGGAGGAGTGGCAGTAGGAGACCCAGCACTTTGGAGCAACGGTGTATCAGGATCCAGCACGAGAGATCGCTGCCACGCGCAGAGCCGAGGGCAATTGCGGACACCATGGGGGAACATCACAAGTGGGGTCGCGCAAGCGCCCTCCTCCTCCTCCTCCTCCTCCTCCTCCTCCTCCTCGGAGAAGAAGACCCCCCCCCAAGCGCCAGCGGCAGGCGGTTTGAGGAGCATGCTGCTGCTGAAATCTAGCGGCCTCGGATCACAAAAGGAACGCTCGGCCCTCCCGCCTAGAGCGACGGCCGACATGGCCACCGCAGGGTGCGGCGGGGCGAAACAGATGTCAGAGAACGCGGCTGGACGCGCAAAGTGCACGTGCACATCCTTGTCGAGGAATGGAAATGTGCTTCTGAATGGGGCGATCATGGAAGCCGGCTCGGTGACATCAGGCACGACGTGCAGCGGCAGGTGCTGCCAGCGTTCGAGGGCGGGGAGGTGGACCGAGGGGTCGCCGAAGTCGAGGGCTGGGCGCGGGAGGCCGAAACGGTAGTGACTGATGCGATGTCCTCCTTGCACGAGGCTCGGGTGGCAGCCGCAACGGTTCTTCGACATCGCGGATTCGACAGGGCGGAAGAATTTGGTCGCGCCCGGTCGTCGGGAGAAGGAGCCAGAAAGAAACTAGCAGCGAGGGCGGAGCCGCTGCCAATGCGACGATGAGTGGCATATGCTGCCAGAGAGGTTACTTCGAGCGTAGTGGGGGCCGCGTCGCTCGGGGCCGCGCCAGTCAAATATTGCGGAAGGGCGGCGGTGCCAAGGGCGCTCACTTGTCGTCTGTTGTCCTCGTCGTCCCCGTCGTCGTCGTCGTCGTCGTAGTCGTCGTCGTCGTCGTCGTCGTCGTCGTCGTCGTCGTCGTCGTCGTCGTCCTCGTCGCCGTCCACCTTCTCCCACTCATGTCTCGTATCAAAGCGTGCCGCAGGAGTCCAGCTGCAAGAGTTGTGTACCTCTGAGAAAAAGAAGAGCGTCCAGTTTCGGTTTTCAGCCTTCCCCCTGGCGTCGAGCGCCGCTGAGCTGGTCGAGATTGTGCGTGGCTCTTTCATTGGAGGCGCCAGGGCGGGTGATTGTGCTGGCGGAAGAGGCGGGGATCTGGAGCATAGTTAGGCACGCCGAGTATATTGTTAGGACGGTGGAGGTAGAGGGGCGCTGCGACGAGAATCACAGACCGCGGTTCCGGTTCGGCCTCGGGAGCTGGGGCCGAGCACTTCTCTTGCAGGCGTAAGATGAGGAGTGCTCGCTTCGAAGCGTGCTGGAACTCTCGCCGCTGCGGCCTGGGTGTGGCGCCGCGCTCTGTGGGCGTCTGGCGCGCGGCTAGCGCGCTCGCCCGCGTCCGTCCGCGTTCGCAGGCAGCGTTGCCGACGGCTGCCCCAGCATTGGGCGCGGCCGTCGCGCGAAGATGGCGGCGTATTCGCAGCCGTCGCCGACGGTCGCTGCGTTGCAGCACATGGCATGCACCTGGGTGCCGGCGGTCAGCTTGCGCAGAAGCGCAAGGAGGCGCTGGAGAGTCCAGGCCTCCTGCTGCCAGGCGGCGCCAGACATGCGGGCGCCGTCGGGCCAGCGCTGCGGGCCCTGTTGACGCGCCCGCAGGTGGCGCAAGGCTCGGCGTTTGGAGGCGGGGGCAGCGCGCTGCTTGCGGAAGCCTTGCAGGTGGCTGCAGCTTCGCCAGTCGCCGGCCTCTGCCGGCCCGTGGGCCGCCCTGGCCCCCTGCTGGGCGCAGCTCCTGCCTCGGCATTCTGGGCCCGCGCGCGTGATGCGCCCGCGCCGCCAGCGCCGCCGCGCGCGCGCGCGAGGGGCGGGGGCTGCCCTGCCCTAGCAGGCGCTGCTGGCCAAGGTCGGATGCGCCGCGAATCGCGGGGCCAGCGCCGCGGACGCGTCCGCGGGCGGGACGGGGCGCTCGGGCGAGGGCGTCGTCGCTAGGGTCGGCGCCAGTCCGGAAGACCGCGCGGGCTCAGGCGCGGCTGCAGCAGGCCCGCGCGCGCCGACGTCGACGCGGGCCCGAGGACCAAGAGCGGGGTCTTCGTGATCCGCGCCGACGCGACGCGACGCGCCAGTCGCGCGCCCGCCTGCACAGGGATCTTGATGGCGCGCGTGGCGGGCTGATGATCAGGGGGCAGTTCGAGGTCGCGGAGGCGATGGCGCCGCTCCTGCTGACGGCGTTCGAGCTGGCCAATCGCGACAAGGGCACGCGGCAGCAAACCTCGTTGCTCGCGCGCTTGCCAGATTATTTCTGGGGCTCGATGGCGGCGGGCGGGGGGGCTCGGCGTCGAGGCGCGGCTCTTTGAGCACTCGGCGGGGCCGACGTGGGCCGCAGCGGCGACTCCATGCCCGCGCCGAGGGCGCAGAGTCGCTGGCCGAGGTTCGCGAGAAGGGTCAGCGGCGAGCGCGGGCCGAGGCAGCGCGACGGACCGAACGGGCCGAAGGGGCGGGGGGCGGGGGCAAGCTCGTCGGAGGGCGGCCAGTTGCCGGCGGAGTCGGCCTGCTCGCTGACCGCGACGGCGGCCCCAGGGGCGCGCGTGGGCCGAGTGCGCCGGCTGGTGCGGGGCAGGGCCGACCTGTCATGCCTTTTTTTCGTCCGCGCGTGCTCGGCATTGAGGCCGCCAGGGTCCCCGCCGCGAGCCTGCTCGTTCCCGACGGCGTCGCCGTTGGGGTCGGCCATCGGCGCCCCGCCCCGTTGCAACCCGAGGTGTTCTGCGCGCTGGGTGTCATGCAGGTGCCCGAGCTCCTCGCGGACATGGTGGTGGTTGCCTTATCTGTCGCTGATTTTCCGGTGCTGGCGCCCTCTGGGCCGCGGGGCGGGCGCGGCTATCAACGGAGTGCAGCGTGGCGGACCGCCCGGCTTCGCTGTCCATGCCAAGCTGTGGCGTCGCGCGCCCTGCGATGTGGGCGGCCGCGGCGAGATGCATCTGCGCGCGCTTCTCGACGTCGCTCTGCTGGCGCGGGAGGCGGCGCCGAGGGCGCAGGTCCGCGCCCCGCCGCCCCGGGCCGCCGCGCCCGTCGAGGTGGGCCGCCAGACCTTCTGCGGGGGGGGGCGCACTTCGACCCCGCCGATGATTTGCCCGCGTTCGAAGCGGCGGCCTACTTGCATCCTGCCCTGGCTCAGCGGTCCGAGGCGTTGCGGCCTTATTCCTGCGCGGCATGCGGGTGCGGTGCGTGGGGGTGCGGCCGTTGCCGGGTGCCAGTGCAGCTGGGGCTTGCAAATTGATTCCCGTGCGTCGAGACGAGAAGCGGGGCGGAATAGTTTGGGGCCGCAGGGTCCGCGGCGCCCTGGAGGATCTGGCTGCAATCCGCCAGCCAGAGGCCAATTTTTGGGCGGGCTGCCTGCCCGCGTTGTTCGCCGATGTCGTCTCGGACTTCCACCGGTCTTCCGACGCCGGCCAGGCCTGCGAGTGGGCCGACTTCCTGCGGCGGGTGCCCGCGCATCTGCGGCGGGGCACGGCGGCGCATGCTTCCCAGCGGAGCGAGCTCGGCAGGCGCCGTGTTGTTGTTGGTTTGCGTGGCCAGCCACCTGATGGGCAATCTCAGCGCGATCGACTTCGCTCGGGGAGCTCACGAGGCCACGCTGCAGGCTGGGGGCAGTTTGCCTGGCGGACCGCGATCGCAGCGCCGCCGCCCGCTCCCGACAGGTCTCGGGGCCCGGGCCCGGGCGGCGCCGGGCGGGCCCCAGTAGTCTGCCGCCGCGCATGGCGGAGTCCCGCGCGGCGGACAGGCGGCCGCGCGCCAGGGGCTGAGCGCAGCGACTGACGATCGCGTCGAGGGCGCCACCTCTGGCGCTGTGCTGGGCGACGAGCTGCCCGCCTCCAGCCAGCTGCAGCGCAGAGAGGTCGCGGCGCTCCGGGCGCTGCGGTCCGCAGGCGTCGCGGCCAACGGGGCGATGACGCGCCCTGCTATGGTCGCGCCGATGCTCGTCGCCAACCCGAAGGCGACGGGCGCCGACGACGTGGGCAGAAGCGACGCCTCGCGCCAGTTCGCGGCCTCGGTCGAGGCCGGCGTGCCGCGTACCACCCTGCGTAATGCGCGGCGGCGCAGGCGCCGGCAGGGCTGGCGCGCCGGGTTGAGCGGCGCGGCGGTGGCGCGCCTGCGCGCGCGCAAGGGGCCAGAGGACAGGGCGTGGTTGCAGACGCTGGCGAGGAGCTCAGGCCGG